CTCCCCCCTCTCCCTCTCCTCCTCTTCCTCCCCTCCTTTTCCTTCTCCTCTTCCTTTTCCTCCTTCTTCTGTACTAGGGATTGAACTCTGAGCATTTGCACTGAGTTATATCCCCAACCTTTTTTATTTTTTATTTTGAGCCAAGGTCTGGCTAAGGTGCCCAAGCTGAACTCAAACTTGAGCTCCTCCTGCCTCAGCCTCCCCGAGTGCTGTTATTGCAGGCATGTGCACCACGTCCAGCTAAATTTGGGGCTTTTCTTAAAATGACTTTATTGAGGTATGGCTGACATTGAAAAACCTGTACATAATGTACATAACCTGGTGAGTTTAGGGCTAATTATATACCCATGAAACTATCACAGTGCCACAAAGATATCCATCACCTCCAGAAGTTTTCCCTACCCTTTTTTCTATAAGAACACTTAATCCTAAGATCCACCCCATGAGTGAATTTTTAAGCATACATTTTAAAATTAACAGAATGGTTAACCATATGCACCCTACTATACGGTAGATCTCTAGGACCTACTCATCTTCCGTAGCCAATGTAAAGGGCCAGGGATGCAGCTCAGTGGTTCCGCCACCTGCCTTGCAAGTGCAAGGTCCCAAGTTTGATCTCTGGTACCAAAAAAAAAAAAAAATAAAAAAAAAAAAAAAAAAAAAAAAAAAAAAAAAAAAACCCATCTGCCGTGACCAACACAACCGAAAGCTTTGGACCTCATTTCCCATCCTTCCATCTCATCATAACACCACTCTCTTGACTATTTTACTCTCTGAGCAGGTGAGATCACGTGGTATTTCTTCTTCTGCACTTGGCCTGTTTCACTTAATGCCAAATCCTCCAGGTTAACCCAAGTTGCTTATAAATCACAAGCTTCCTGCTGCAAGGCTGAATAACGTGTAAACTCTGTATCTCCAAGGTCTCTTTATCCACCCATCCATCAGCAGAAGTTTGGGTTGCTTCCGTGTCTTGGCTATCCTGAATCACGTACAACAGACTCGGGATAGACACTTCTCTCTCTGAGATCCCAGTTTTAATGCCTTTGGATGCAGTCCCAGAAAGCGGATGGGTGGATCGTATGCTAGTTCTGTTTTTCATATTCTGAAGAATTTCGCGCTGTTTTTCACAGTAGCCGCAGCCATGTGCCTTTCCTCCAAGTATGCAAGGAGAGCTCCCTTTCCTCCACGTCCTAATCAGTTTGTTGTCTTCAGGGGTTTCGGGAGTTGCCATCCTATCAGGTGTGAGATGCTGTCTTGCTGTGGGTTTTTGTTTGTTTTGTTTTGTTTTGCTTTGCTTTCTTTTGTTTGAGACAAGATCTCACTTGTCCTACACTCACCATGTAGCCCAGGCTGGCCTCAAACTCACGGCGATCCTCCTGCCTCGGCCTTCTGAGTGCCGGGATTATAGGCTTGCGTCACCACGCCCGGCTTGATTGTGGGGTTTTTTTTATTATGATTATTGTGGTTTTGACTTGTTTCTCTGATGTTGTTTTGTTTTGTTTTGCTTTGCTTTCTTTTGTTTGAGACAAGATCTCACTTGTCCTACACTCACCATGTAGCCCAGGCTGGCCTCAAACTCACGGCGATCCTCCTGCCTCGGCCTTCTGAGTGCCGGGATTATAGGCTTGCGTCACCACGCCCGGCTTGATTGTGGGGTTTTTTTTATTATGATTATTGTGGTTTTGACTTGTCTTTCTCTGATGACTCGTGACGCTGAGCACATTTTCCTATACTTGGAGGTACAGTGCGCGTCTTCTAAGATCATTTCTCAAGGGGATTCTCATCTCTGCCCACTTCTGTGAAGCACTGCTCTCAGTCTCGCAGAGAAAACGTCCCCGCTGTCGCTAGCTTGCCTGCCTGTAAACCGAGCGGCTCTGCGGCTAACCAGCTACGTTTTGGGGACTGGTTTAAGAGAAAGCCTGCACTTACCCTCGCACCACTCTTAACAGCGCCAGGGGAAAGGAAATGGCAGCGGTGAAGTCCGACCCTGGGAACGCTGCAGTCATCTGCTCCACATCAGGCCAGGCTGGCGGCGGCCCCTGTAAATGGAGGCTGGCGTTTCACCTCCGCAGATTCGCTCTTCCAGAACTGTACAACAGCCAGTGCCGCGTACTGTGCTGCGGAGTCTATCGTCACATCTCCTACAAGGATACTGTGGCTGGCGTTGCTCACTACATTCCACCAGTGACCTCTGCCACAGAAATTTCCACACCTATGGTGTCTGTAATAAGTAGACCAACCTGAGCGATAGATTCGTCTTTTAGGCCCACAGTTCCTATGCACTGTGCAACTCACGATGTTTGCCTTCTTGCCTTGGCTGCTAGGATGCTCACTGACAAGTCTGGAGCCCACCTCCAGCCCCGCCGAGACATAATATCACCTATTTCATCTGCCGTGCTTATTTCTGATAGCATTTGAGTTATGTCCATCTATCTTCAGTGTTTCTTGATTTTTTTGGTCCATTTCTAACAAATAACAATAACTCCTTACTTAGTTTTATTCTACCTAGAGAGCCAAATATGCTCAGCCTATATTTTTTAAATATATTAAGTGTAAAGAACTCTATAAAAGCCCAGGGCAATCCTACCCATCAGAGTCCACTGCCCTGCTCTGCTCATAGGGTACCCCTTGCTGCCCTTCCAGGTTCACCCTTAACCTCAGAACGCACTCCCAGTCTCTCCGCGGGTGCCGCCACATCTGCAGGAAGAACCACCTCCGACCGGAGTGCTGTCCTGGCCACTGGGGTCCGGACTGCATGGGTAAGTGCACAACCTGGGACTCTGACACCGCTCCTCAAGGTCTTATTCTATGTAACATCGGGAGGAACGAAGCCCACTAGAAGGCAGAGGTAAGCGTGTTTTTCCATGTCAGTCTACAAGCATAAAATATTTCATGCCCCCTTAGTTTTTATAAAGGAATCATCCCAGGCATGGTGGCTCATGGCTCTAATCCCAGTACTCTGAGAAGCTGAGGCAAGAGGGTCCCAAATTTAGTCCTGCCTTGGCAATCCAGCAAGACCCTGTTTTGTTTTGTTTTTGTTTTTGTTTTTGTCTTTTGGTACCAGGGATTGAACTCAGGACCTTGCACTTGGGAGGCAGGCATGGTGCCACTGAGCTAAATCCCTGGCCCGGCAAGACCCTGTTTTAAAGTTTTAAAAAAGCTGGGAATGTAGCTCAGTGTAAAGGTCCTGGATTCAATTTCCAGTGCCAAAACAAAAACTTCCAACAAAGAAATCACTTTGTTGCAGTTATTATATATAACAACAAATACAGATGCTGGGCAATTATGACCCAAATACTCTTTACTTTAAGAAGAAATTTCAGCCAGGGATTTAGCTCACTGGCACCACCTCGCAAGTGCAAGGTCCTGAGTTCGATCCCCAGTACCCCCCCAAAAAAAGAAGACATTTCATTACATCTCAGACACTATAGTAAATAACCATCAAGTATCATAAAAGTAACAACAAATACAGATGCTGGGCAATTATGACCCAAATACTCTTTACTTTAAGAAGAAATTTCAGCCAGGGATTTAGCTCACTGGCACCACCTCGCAAGTGCAAGGTCCTGAGTTCGATCCCCAGTACCCCCCCAAAAAAAGAAGACATTTCATTACATCTCAGACACTATAGTAAATAACCATCAAGTATCATAAAAGTTGAAGTCTTAAGACAGAATATCAAATTCTATGATGTTGAATTATAATGCCTTCATGTAAAGAAATTGTAAAGTTAACTACATAAATTTATACGCAGTACATGTAGGCATAGAAATTAATTCTGAAGAGCTTCTGTGGTAACGAAAACTACTAGCAAATCTTGGGCAATGAGAGACTCAGATTTCAGTCATCAGCCCTCAGATTTGATGGGTAAAACTGAACTGTCACCCTCATCATAGTTTATTCTATCGCTGTGATATGCAAATGATCTGAAATTCCCCATTGTCTCGGTAGTCAAAATCAGAAATTTTAATTCCTAAATTCACTACTTGTTCCCTGTCCTCTAAGGGGCCGTGAAAATACCTCCCTAAGATCCTCTCAAGGGAGAGATGAGGCTCTTGTATTCTGCAATATTTTTTCTCTGATTAAAGTAATGGGATCAAATTGTGTACAGCTTGTGACGTTTAGAAAGGTACAAAACAGCAAAACATCAACTCATGTTCTGTCGCAGGAGGGAACCCTGAATATTTTGGCTTATTTACATCTCAGTCTTTTTTCTGCGTAACTCCTAAATCGCTGAGCCCAGAGTGTGTGTACGATGTTGCCTTCTTCCTGACGGTGAAATGGTTGCGTAGATAGTAACTTCCACTGGCTCAGCAGGCTGTCGTTAGGTGCTGGGGAAGTCCTTGGCTCTACAGCGTTCAGTGCAGCTCCTGAAATCAATCTCTGAGTTGTACGGCTTTATCCTCATTCTGCTTGGGAGGACTCAGATACTCGAGTGTTATCTTGCATATTCTCTTGCAAGTTTCCTTTGGGGATGAGAAGTGATAAATTAAGTTCAAGTTCAGGGCTTTCTGGCACCAAAGGCTGCTCTCCTGTCTCCTTTGTCCCATTGTCTGAAGCAGAGCTTGTCTGGAGGAAAAGAGGGGAAGAGGTCGACGGGAGGGAAGGAGACGGAAAGAGCACGCGGTGGGCCTCCACATTCCCTGCCATCCTCTTCCACAGCTAGGCCCTCCCAGCTTTCCCTGTCCGTGCCTAGACTCAATGCTTCCTGTCCTGGGAGGGTCACGGTTCGGGGTTCAGCCACCCTGACCCTTCTCTCCGTTAACTGCTCGGTGGTAAGTTCCACCCAGTGAGTCGGCCCTATGTATTCCTAAGAGCTTAGCACCTGAGAGTCAAGTGCACATGTTCAGGGTCTTTAGAGCAGTTACCCTGTGGGGTCCTTAAAGGAATGAACCTGGACCTCCAGATTCCAAGGACTTTTTCTCATGGTCCCATACATAGTTGTACATGCTTTGAGTTCTTACAGACGTCCCAGTAGAACCACAAGAATGTTTAGATTCACTGCCCCATTTCTACCTAACCTGTGGAAACTAATCTGCTGCTAGGTGATGAATCAGAGAGCCTGTGGATCAGAGCGGGCTTTGTCTAGGATGCATGGCAAAGTCCGCCTGTCCAACAGAGCAGATGACTAACCACAGCCAGGCAGGCAAAAGACGCAGAGCCCGAGACCAAGCTGCAGGTTTGCAACCCTCATGCAGCCGGCTTCCTGCTCTGCCGCTGTCTCCTCATCTGCCGAAGGAGAGTTACACGTCCCACTTTACAAAACACTACAGGAGATTCTTCAAACATTAACCCAAGTGAAAGAAAGGACTTCAGAGAAAGTCTGAATGTGCTTCACAGTCTGGTGCTGTGCTCCACGCAAGGGAAGATGGCAGGTTTCACACCCAGATCTAGGAGTGTCTAACCGAGTCTGAGTGTCCAGGCGTTTCCTTGGGAGGGGGCTCGAGGCCAGAGAAGCAAAACATGAAAACAAGGCCAGGACATCATCCTTGCTGCCCTCTCTTTGGGGCTAACGGGTGTTTCCCTTTTATCTTCACATTCCAAATGTACTTGCTATCGTGCAAGGCTTGCTTCCTTCCCGGCAGGAAAGACAGATGCCCAGCTAGGCTGCGGTCGCCCCCACACTTAGCGTGATGACAGGCAGGGTGTCGCCTGTCGCCCTGCCCTTCCGCAGGGACAAGGCCGCGCAGCTGCTGACTGCGTCCCTCCTGCCCCTGGAGGCAGCGCGTTCCCAGCCTGCACGGGCGCCCCTCCTTTCTGCACACCCACACGCTCTCTCTCACCAACTCAGGGTGTCCTAAAAATCAAGCCCATAGAAGACTAAGCCCAGGGTCAGTGCTGGAAACGCAAAACACAGAAAACCATGATGGAAAAGAATTACCCCGCCCCCATCTTCTAAAACGCAGAATAAGGCACGAATTCTCCCTTGTCGGGGGGTCGTCCTGACGTAGGATAGGTCTTTTTACTTGAATTAAACCTACTTCTCCACTTAAAATTGGCATTTCTTTATGAAAGTGCATATGCAAGTCTTTTCTCATCAGCACAGAAATGTACTTTTAATTTTGAAACTTAATCATGTTTGAACAGCAAATATTCTACTTAACGAAAAATAGATCTTTCTTCTTTTTTTTTTTTCCAGTATTGGGAATTGAACACAATGTGTTCATACTAACTCCATTCCAGCCCTTGTTTTTTCCATCTTGTTTGTGTGTGTGTTTTTGACACAAGGTCTCACTCACTCCCTAAGTTGCCCAGGCTGGATGCACGCTTGTGATCCTCCTGCCTCAGCCTCTCAGTGGGATAGGATTATAGGCCTGCACCATATTCCCAGCTTGAGATAGAATTTTTATTTGTACATCTTGCTGTTTTTATTGCACCATGAATTTATGGGCTTTGAACAACTCAAAGTAGTGGAATTCCAGAGTATGCAAAGCAGTCACACGTAAACTCAGCTGTGGCTCAAACAATCTATTTCATAGACAAATGGCCTGGATTTTTTTTTTTACCAAATTCCTCAACATTCATTTTTATGTTGCACAGGTTGCAAATCACAGACAATGCAGATTTGAGACCATTCTTTCAGGCATCACTTTTTTCCCTTGAGCAACAACGCAGTCATAGTCGTCAAAATCTGTTTCACTTCCCCTTCCGGGCAGACGATGGCATCCAGGGCTACATGAGGACCATGGGGAAAGGATTTCTGCCAGGCCTGTGCGCCAGGTGCCTGTGGGATCTCTTAGAAGCCTAAGTCACTGGGGGATCTCCGGTCTCTTGCTGGGCAGGAAGTGGATTGTGTTCCGCGACAGAAACAGACCCAGCTGATGGTTTGCGGACAGCTTCTACTGGCTGAATCTGTGTGAGAGCAGTCAGGATCCCGGAAACCATGTGTGGTGATGCCTCAGACCCTCTCGTCAGCACCTTCAGTCCCGCAGGGCCTCAGAAATGCCACCTCGCACATTCTGTGATGCCTCTTTTGAGTGTGGTTGCTGAGATGCTAGTGTTGTCATCTTCATTCTCTTTCTTTCTTTCTTTCTTTCTTTCTTTCTTTCTTTCTTTCTTTCTTTCTTTCTTTCTTTCTTTCTTTCTTTTTCTTTCCAGTACTGGGGATCAAACTCAGGACCTTGTGCTTGCCAGACCGACTCTGCACTGCTGAGCTGATTCCCCTGCCCCACCATCTTCATTCTTAATGGGGACTTGGGTTGACAGGAAATGATTTGAGAAGCAGGAAACAAACTTATCCTTTTGCCTTACAAACGTTTCTTAAAACCCAAACAAATATTTTCATGTATTTTCAAGATATTCTATTCAGGCCATCAAATGAAGGTTCCCTTCACCCCCACACTCTTGCCACCTTCTTCCAGAGTCCTTTCCGGGGTTGGCCAACTCATAAAAATCAAGCACTTACAAGTGCCCACAATATGCTGTACATATAATGGACCCTCATAGCAACAACTTGGGTTACTGCCGGAATGTTAGTTTTAACTTACGACCAAAGTCTTGACTTAGGAACCTGAATGTCGGCCGCTTGTGCTTCCAGATGGTCTTAGATACAGATCTAACCTTAAAGAGCTCTGGGAGGACTGTGACAACATCCTCTCCCGTGTGTGGGGCTCTCTGAGAAGCCCTGGGCCGGCATCTCTCTAAGGACGCTGAGATCCACCTGTGTGAAAGAGAGAGACTCTGAAGGCTGAGCCTCCACTGACCGACTTGAGTTACAACCAGCCCTCGGGAGTGAACTGAGTTCGTAAATCAAGGGTCC